GAGTCCTTTATACCAAATCCCAGAATCCGAGATTTGTTCAGACCCCTCCAATCCCCTTACATCCTGGTTACCCTTAACCATGTCCATCATTCTTTTAATTATTTTTTTCGACAGCTAAATCCTTATTTGTTTCTCTCTTAAAATACATCCAATGGTATATTTTTCCTGTTACAAAGGTTTTATGTGGCCATAGAGGACTTAAAAAAATAAAACAATCCTCTTAGCACTTTTGATCTTTCCTCTTTTGCTCCTGTGTATCTGTACGCTTCTTAAATAGAAAATTAGGATTTTACACATTATAATCTAAAGTACTGAACGTCCTCCCACGTTGTTAGATGTCCGTTACAGCATCTGTTTTGTTGGTGCGTCTCGACGCTGCCTGATTTCCTGCTCGGTTCCTTTCAGATCATCACGGGCGAATTCTACCGGATCTATTACCTGAAGGAGAAGTCCCGGTCGACGATTCAGAATCCCTACGTGGCAGCCCTCTATAAGCAAGTGGGTTGCTTCCTCTTTGGCTGTGCCATCAGCCAGTCTTTCACAGACATCGCCAAAGTGTCCATCGGCCGCCTGCGTCCTCACTTCTTGAGTGTCTGCAACCCTGATTTCAACCTGATCAACTGCTCCGATGGCTACATTCAAAACTACAAATGCAGGGGCGATGACAGCAAGGTCCAGGAGGCCAGGTGAGAGACCCCTCCCTGAGGCCACAGCAGCCACCACTGTGGGGCAGTGAACACGTACTAGCCGTGCTCTGGTTTAGGTGGGTGAGTGAGGCACAGTCCCTGTTCTTGAGGAACTCACAGTCAAGTGATGGAGACAGAGAGGTCCATAAATAATTACAGTACCGCATCAGTAAGCCCGTTCAGTCATTCCTTCTTTTGTTTATTCATGAATCCGTGGGTGCCTGCTACGTTCCAGGCATGTGTCCAAAGCTCTACCAAGGATGCAGAAATGAATAAGACACAGAGCCTGCTCTCAAGGTCACAGTCTAGGGAGGGAAGACAGACGACAAGTGTGTGTCAGGGGTGTGAATATGGCCCTTTCACGGCCCTCTCTTCTCTTGCAGGAAGTCCTTCTTCTCTGGCCACGCCTCCTTCTCCATGTACACTATGCTATATTTGGTGGTAAGTACCTTCCCTTGCATTCAAATGCTGTCCAGCCCCAGCTTAAACGTTTAACCTGAAAGCCCTCAAACTAGTTAGGGACAGACTTCCCTGTACAATGCTTAAAAGGGTGAGCTAGGAAAGTTGGCTCTCATTCCGTGCTCTGCCACGGCCTCAACACAGGTGACTTTACTGTCCAGGGAGTTCCCATTTTTCATCTAAAAATAGCGTTTGCCATGGCTGCTCGGTCAGGATTGAGCCTCCTTTTTGAAATGATAGAAGTGATGAAGACGCTTGTCTAACATTTTATGGTATAAGCCCTGTTTTTGGAAAAAGCCATGAACTCACTTGATTCTTAGAGGAACCTTAGAAGGAATATTATCTCTATTATGGGAAAAGTTACCAAGTACGGCTGTGAGAATTTAAGCAAACTGCCAAAATTTACATATGCACCCCAGAACTGCAGCCCAGACCCACCCCTCCTGATCACATGGTTTGCGTGTTCACTGAGTCCGTCTTCCTTCATATTCCCCTGGTTAGAGGGCTGTGAGGATTGTCAGTACCTGACTGTTTAGACTTTGCAGGGGTCCTCAAACTTTTTAAACAAGGGGCCAGTTCACTGTCCCTCAGACCATTGTTGGGCTGGACTGTGGGCTCCAGGACAAGTCGGCTGCAGCAGCGGGAAAAACACCCGGTGAGCTGGATAAATGTCCTAGGCGGGCTGCATGTGGCCCGCAGGCCGTAGTTTGAGGACGCCTGATTTAGAGTGATTGTGAGTTTTGCAAAACACTTATGCATTCGCGAGGACATGGGACCTCGTAACAGTGCTGTGGCGTCTGTGTCCCCACTTCTCGAATCGAGAGGCCAAGCAAGGGCCAGCCAGGTTCAGCAGCTTGTCCGTTGTCCTGCAGCTGGTGATGTAACCGTGGTGTGATTCACAAGTTGCCCTGCCCGCGGCCTGTCTGCTCTGATTTCCTGGAGATGCCTGGATAGAGCGGTGAAGCGGCCTGCTCCCCTCCAGCTGCCCTGCAGGCCGCGGGCTGCTCTGTGTTTCTCCATCAGTTAAATATGGGCTCCCCTCTGCCTCCCCCCTTGAATGAGGTCCCCGTGCCAGTGCACTTCCTGCTTTCGGCCGCTTTGATGGCGTTCAGAGTGAGAAGGTGCTGAGAGGTCAGACACAGCTCAGAGGAGCATAAGCTGTTTGGAAAAAGAACATTTTGATTTCAACGAATCTAAAAAAACATAATTAGGAATTAGGGAGGAAAGACTGACAGAGTAATTGTTTGGTTTTGTTTTTCCGAATCTTTTCCAAGTTTGGAGGCCTCCGGGCTTCCAACCTGTAAAAACACTAAACATGGGTTTTATTTATTCATGAATAGCACTTCCCTCTGTTCCTCTTTTCTGTTGTTGTTGTTTTTGTTTTGTTCTTAGAAAGGATAATTCAGCAATGATATTTGGGTTCCTGCTCCATGTGTCTATTTTACCCAGGGCTGGAACCAATTTTAGAAATGTCGTTTCAATGTTTTGTAAAGGTGTGTGGAGAGGTTGGGTATGTGTTCATTTTTTTCCCCATGTCCCTTCATTTTATTTCGAGAGAAAAAAATACTAGATTATTTTGAATCCAACATTGAGCACCATGCCCTTTACAGCTGCCCAAAAGGTGACGATGATGACAAGTTTTGGGGGCTTCTGTGTGCAGGCACCGTATCTAGACTGTGCTACAACATTAGCTTCTCAGTAACCGTGAGAGGTGTTTCAAGTATCTCACTTTGGGATAAAAACAGACAAACCTGAATCTAAGAAGTTAAGTCATTAAAGTTCTACAGTCAGTAAGAGGCAAATAACCGGCTCGGCACCTATAGCTCAACCGGCTAAGGCGCCAGCCACATACACCTAAGGTGGCGGGTTCGAATCCCCAGCCCGGACCCGCCAAACGATAATGACGGCTGCAACCAAAAAAAATAGCCGGGCGTTGTGGCGGGCGCCTGTGGTCCCAGCTACTTGGGAGGTGGAGGCAGGAGACTCGCTTGAGCCCAGGAGTTGGAGGTTGCTGTGAGCTGTAATGCCATGGCACTCTACCCAGGGGGACAGCTTGAGGCTCTGTCTCAAAAAAAAAAAAAAAAAAAAGAGGCAAATAACCTATAATTGTTATAGGTTGTTTGTCTACCTCTTCCCTTCCCTCTCCTCCCCTCCCTCCCTTCCTTCTTTCCTTCTTTTCTCTTCTTTTTTTGTTTTTGTTTTTTTTTGAGACAGTCTCTGACACTCTGGGTAGAGTGCTGTGGCATCACAGTTCACAGCAACCTCAAACTCTTGGGCTCCAGCTATCCTCGTGCCTCAGCCTCCCAAGTAGCCGGGACTACAGGTGTGCACCACAATGTCTGGCTATTTTTTCTATTTTCAGTAGAGACAGAGTCTCACTCTTGCTCAGGCTGGTCTCAGACTCCAGAGCTGAAGGGATGCACCCGACTCGGCCTCCTGCCTTAGAGGTTCTTTTTATAGTACTTCACCACAAAAAAAAAAAAAAAAAAAGGAAAACCGAAACAAACAAAAAACAAACCTCTGCAGGATAAACTTACAGACTGTAACCCCTTGGCCCTAATTTCAACTTCACACAGAGGAGGCCGCCTTTCTCTTTCTGCTTTAATGAGATGTCCCCTGCCCTCTCCAACCAACTGCACCGTCACCTCCTCACCAGGGATGGTTACAGCCAGAATCTCTGCGAGGATGATGGGTGAGGAGTAGATTTTGACTGAAGGTTTGTTTGCATCCCTCTGGGGGAGGGAGACAGTGTAATTCATCAGATTGCTGGAAGGAAGGAAGAGAAGAAAGGAGGGAGGACAAGGGGAGAGAGGAGAGGGGGACAGGAACAAAGAGAAGTGCCTTCTCAATCCTTCATGTTCTGAGCATATTATTACACCCTCATGCCACCGTGCTGTCATGCACGTCGCGCACTTTCTGGAACTCTTGCACACACACCACACACACTTATTCAGCACTCACAGCTTGCAGACACCCACATGTACACACACACACACACACACAGCATATGTATGTATATACACAGCTCTATTTTTAGCACTCAGTTTATCTTGCCCTAAAACAACCTCTAAGATAAGAGATAAAAATGAGGATAGCAGCTCTTGGCCAGGGCTTGTTTTTATGTGATATTACAGAGAAATCCCAGCCGTCGGAATGTCCGTTTTGTAAAACTTTCTAAAATCTGAAAGACAGTCTTGCTGCTCACCAGAGCAGGTGGCAAGTCCTGCAGCCTGCCCGAAGCCCTCAGACCCTCCCCCAGCGCCTTGACATCGGGCTTCAGGAAGTGCTAGAGTGGGTCAAACCCACTTTCTGGGCTTTTTGTGGACATAGCCTGTTGTACATGGCATCCCTTAAGCCATGGGGAGAATCTCAGTGGAGCCAGCTGGGCATAGCATTGCCCCCATTTTATACTGAATCCAATCTGGCCTGTCTATTACTAGCTATGGAGCCATGAGTAGGTTACTTAGCTTTGGAGCCTCAGTATACCCATCTGTAAAATGGAGATGATCGTGTGTATTTTTTTCTTTTCTCTTTATTTTTTTTTTAATTTGTTTTGGTTTGGGGTTTTTTTTTTGTTTTGTTTTGTTTTTTTTTTAGACAAAGTCTCTTTCTGTTGCCCAGGCTAGAGTGCCATGGTGTTAGCCTAGCTTACAACAACCTCAAACTCCTGAGCTCAAGTGATCCTCCTGCCTCTCAGCTCCTGAATAACTGGGACTGCCCACCACCATACCTGCTAATTTTTCTATTTTTAGTAGAGATGGGGGTCTCGCTCTTGCTCAGGCTGGTCTCAAACTCCGGAGCTGGAGTGATCTCCCAGAGTGCTGGGATTACAGGAGTGAGCCCCTGCACCTGGCCGCTGGTGTCTACTATACAGTTATTACTGCTGTTCCTCTCTGGACTCCATTTTCCCCACCTGTCAAATGAAAGAGTAGGATTGGGTGGTGTTTATTTATCTCACAATCTCTACAGCTCTATTCAAAAGAAGTCTGAACTTTCTAAGTGCTGAAAAGAAAGATGGGAAGCCATCAGGGACAAACTGCTGCTGCACTACCATCAAGTTCAAAGAGAAGGGCAGACCAGAAGCACAGCCATATCCACATGCCAGGCCTTTCAGTGGTGGCCACTTCTAGAGCTGAAGGGCGCTCTGTATTAGGGTTCACTCCCAAAATGGTTAGCTTACACAAACCATGCCCCAGACACCAAATTATCTCCAGGCACAGAAGCTTAAAGATGAGGTTTAGGCTTGTTAGAGATTAATGCAAAGTCTAATTTAAGAAAAAATAGCATATATAAGCACATAGTATGCGTTCTACCTCTGAGTCCTGGACCACATCTGGATTGGTCCTCTACCTCCATGTGAGGGACTGAGGATGACATAGCTGCATGGGTAAGACACCAACACCAGGACAGGTGCCAATCCCGGTAGTACCTCGTGTTTCCTCTGTTGTGCCAGGTGCTCTGCCGTCTTCCGGGGACACTGAGATGAATCAGATCTGAGCCCTGCCCTGAAATAGCTCCCCTGTGCATTCAGTATTCAGCCGGCATTCAGCAAATATTTAGTGAGTGACTCTTCGGCACCAGTGCCATGCTGGGGGTGGGTGGAATATGGGGATTAGTAAGGCATGGTCACAGCCCTTGGGAATTCAGCCCAGAGGAGCAGCAGATGATAATAGCCTGGTACATTGCGTGGCAGGGGGAAGGGGATGTGGAGGTTGTCCCAGGTTCTCAGGACTGTGGCCCCCAAGCTAACCTGCAGTTACGTGCAGAAGCCAGGGACAGCTCTCCATAGAGTCCTCAGTCACCTGTGTGCTGGTGAAAAGGAGGGTGGTGACTTGGAGAAGAGCAAGCACCTGGCATGGCTGGTGGGCAGCGGGAGCAGAGGGCACACTTGAACGTGAAGTGAACTTCAGGGGCCAGAGTCCCAGCTCCTCATGTCGCAACTCAGACCGCGCAGCAACAAGTTCTTGGGAAGGCCTTTCCTT